AATAAAATGATTGTTAATTAAATGCAAAGAATTCTTGGATTTTTAAAAAATATTTGATCAAACGGTCGGTCAAAATCAATCAAAATTAGTTGGTCAACCGGTTGGTCAGAAACCTTTGACCGACTAATATCAGTTACGATTATGACCGGTCATGACCAGTCATGACTATAACCATTAGCATCCTACTCTTAACAAAATTTCATTATGAATCGGTTAATGAAATTCATTATGATTTATTTAAACAAATTCATATAATGAATCTTTCAATAAATTTCGTTAAGATTTGTTTAAACAAATTTCATTATAATGAATTGTTATAACTAATTTGTACAATTTAATGAAATTCGTTAAAGATTTGTTAAACAAAATTTTGTTATAAATCAGTTAACAAATTAGTTAATAATTCTTTTAACGAAATTTGTTAATGATTTTGCTTAATGAAATGTATTATAATTTATTATAACAAATTTTGTTAAAAATTGTTAAACAAAATTCATTAATAATTTGTTTAATGAAATTTTTTAATGATTTGCTTAACAAAATTTCATTACAAATCGGTTAACAAATAATTCTAATAAATCATTAAAGAATTCTAACGATTCATTACAAATTTGTTAAGCGATTCTTTACGAATTTTGTATAATGATTCGTTACTTTTACAAAATTTATCAATTTGAAGGTGAATTTCATTTATCAAAGACGAATTTTGTATTCAAATACGATTTTTGTCAGTTCGAAGATAAAATATTATTTATCGATGATGATTTTTGTATTCAAATGCGAATTTTGTCAATCGATGATGAATATTTTCATTTCAAATACAAACTATCATATTCAAATATGATTTTTATCTTTTATTAACTTTTTATATACAATTCGCTTACTATAAAAATCAAATGTTATAGTAGATCATATATATTTAACCTCTTTTCAATAAATCAGAATATTCTTTCTTTTTTGTAGTTTTTTTTCTTTTTTTAGTAAAGGACCTTTCTTTTTTTTGGATAATTGTTTTTACTTATTTTTTCTTTATTTTTTTATAGTAACAAATGTTCTTTCTTTTGGATAAGATAAGTGTTTTTCAGGATTCTTTTAGTGATGATTTTTGAATTTTTGCTTTTTTTAATAGGAGTGGATTTTTTTGCTATTGATTAAGGTAAGTCTACAAATTGAAATGATTGTTTTTCAAATTTTACTAGATTTTTTTCTTTTTTGACTTTTTTTGCTATTGGTTAAGGTAAATTTATAAATTTTGAAAGTTATTTTTTGGATTTTTACTATTTTTTTCTTTTTGTAATAGAAGTGAAATTTTTTCTATTGGTTAAGATAAGTCTACAAATCTCAATAGTTGTTTTTTGGATTTTTACTAATTTTTTTTCTTTTTTTTAATAGAAGTTATTTTTTTTGTTATTAGTAAAGGTAAATTTACAAATTGGAATGATGATTTTGAAAATTTTACTAATTTTTTTTTTTTTTTAATAGAAATAGACTTTTTTGCTATTGGTTAAGATAAGTTTATAAATCAGAATGTTTGTTTTTTAGATTTTTACTAATTTTTTTTCTTTTTTAATAAAAATTGTATTTCTTGCTATTGGTTAAGACAAGTCTACAAATTAGGATGTGATTTTCAAATTTTAACTAATTTTTTCTTTTTTTAATTGAAGTGGATTTTACTTGTTTATTAGTTAAGATAAGTCTACATATCAGAATTCTTTTGGCAATGTTTTTTTCTTATCATATATATTAAATAATAAATATTTATTTTTATATTTTACATTTTATTATATAATATATTTTTTATTATTTGAAATAAGAATAAAGAATTAATTAAAATTTGATTTATTAATTAATCATTAAATATAATATATTTTTATTTTACTATATCTTTTTTTGTTAAAGATAATAATAGTTAATCATTATCAGTTAATAGTTAGTAAATAGTCAGTTAAAGGTCTTTGATCAAACTGTTTAATTTTAGCTGACTAATTGACTAATTTTTAAAATCAATATAATTTAATAATAATTTATTAGAAAAGATAATAACTTTATTTTATCTTTATTACTTAATATTTTACTTGTAAAAAAACTTTATATATATATATATATTATATTTCATTATAATTTTAATTTAAATAAATAAAATTTGAGTGAAAAATTCTTATATAATCAAAATATTGTTAATTAATCAGTTAGTTAAAATTAGCTAGTATCAATTAATTAATCAGTTAGTCAAAACTTTTAACTGATTAATACAGTTACGGTTATGATTAATTAAGATTGATTTATAATTATAACTATTAACATTTTTAATCTTTATAAAAAAATTATTTAATATTTTTTAATTTGATAAGTTAATTAAAATTAATCAAAAATGAATTAATAAATTAATGCATATCTTATATGGGGCATACTGCAACAAAACCAGACAAAGTGAACATTGGTATTACCAATGATTTCAGGGATCAAAATTTAGTGTAGCTGTGATAATAATAAGTCCTTGAAAAGATTTTTATTTTGCATTAAAAAGTAAAAATAATTTTTTTTCGTAAATAAAGTAAAATTTATATATTTCAAAAAAAGAATCTTCAAAATACTTGAAGATACCATTCTGTGAGTAATGAGGGTTCATTTGTTAGTTATGTTGCATTGGCATATGAAGGAGGAAATTATAATGAAATTGTAAGATTAATATTATCAATGCATATAAAAATGAAATTTGTACAAAAAAAACCAAGAGGTGGCCAAAAGCGTCAGTGGCCCATCAACAATTGTTAATTAATTGGCTTGTAGACCTGACCTTACATTAGATAATTATATATTAAAGCCAACAGAAGTATGTAGTTCTGTAGGAATTGGATCAACGAATCTCTAACCCCTAGATTTGATTGTTACATGCTTATTGTATTGGTATGACAAAAAATTAAAAAAAAAATTTCCTCAAACCACACAAATAATGTCGAGAAAAATTGAAGAGAAACCAGGTTTTTCCTACTTCATGACAACACCCTGCGAAGCTTGGGACGCTCTTGAGTATCATGAAGAATGGCGTGTGTATAAATATCCAATGAACAAGGGGAAGCTTACAACGGCACTTTATAAACAACTTGACTGGTTCAAAACTGAGGGCTCAGAAGAAGAAAAGAAATCTGCAGAAAGGATGTTGAATCAATTTAAGGTGAGGCCACGCTTTTGCGAGTTATATGACGGTTGTGGCAGGGAGCATGGGGGACTACGGTTCCTGCCCATGTATGGACTACGGTTCCACCCTGTTGCAACTGGGATTGAAGCAAACCACTAGACTACGGTTCTTGAGTGGCGATGGACTACGGTTCCGCCGAAATCCTTTCATGAACTTACAGGAGTGTGGCTAAATCCCGATTTTGTTTCATATATTTTTTTTTAATAAAAACTGGCCAGCTAAAATTGATTTCTTTCAGGAGGGTTTAGGTATTGGTGGATGTATTCATGATTTTTGGATTAAAGCGATGGCTGAGAGACAAGCGAGCTTAAAAGAGTTAAAGGTTGATGCAAAAGTTCGTGGATTGAAGGTAATAAAAAGTATTTCTCTTCAGCTTTCATCAATAAAATTCATGCCGTTTCATTCTTTCTCTCTATATGTAGGCGGAGCAACGTTTAACAATCGCTACTGTTGCAACAAAACAAGTGGAAGAGTATGCACTATCTACAACTCTTGATGTTCATACAGAGCAGGTAGGTGAAAAACGAAAAGATTTCACAGGCAAGAATGATACAGACGTATTGTCACCCACAAAAAAGGTAATAACTCAAGTTCTCTTTTAATAACCGATTTGATTCTTGTATTTTAACAAATCGCATAATTTATTTGATGCACCGTTTAGAGAATTGAGAAAAGACCATTATACACTGAACCAACAACTGATGATGAAGAATTTGAGGTATGAATAAATTTATACAATGGTCACATAAAGGAAACATTTATCTAATAATGTATATTATTTATTTACAGGAAGAATCCATGTTCTTTGAACCTTCCAATATAACAAAAATCCAAGAGATAGTCGCGGAAACGATCGAAAGAACTATTGATGATTGGGAAGTTAAACTATTGAAGTGGCAACAACATGCCCTTAAACAATTAATTAACGGAGTTCAGTATCCATCAGAGCAAAGTATCTATAACATACTTTGTGCTTCATCAATCTTTTACTTTCAACAAGAAAGGAGGCCAACATACACTGGTTTTCTAACGACAAATGAAATCGCTGATATTCGATCACATGTCTTATCAAAATTCGAAATAATAGAAATTCCAGATAGAGTTAAGGAGTATGTAAAAGAAAACAAGAAGGTTGGTGAATAAGTTTTATATTATATTAAAATGAATTGTTTTCATAGTTTTATATATTTTATTAGGATTATCAACAATGTAGTCTAGAGGAAATTGAGAGGTTTCTTAAACGTGATGTTGGGAAACAAGTTGATGAAAAGTTATTAATTAGAACGTTTTTTAGACTATTGGAAGAATGTGTGTTATGGGATCCCTTAGTAAATTTGGATGAATTAACAGAAGGAATATTCGTGGTAGATTATATCGCACCACTCTTTAATAGAACGATTCATTATTTTAATTACACAACTATGCATTCATGGTATATATATAAAATTTTGCACTTTAATTCTTGGTATATAGTTCATTTTATTTTATTTTTTTAGGATAGATGTAAAGTCTTATGCATCTGAATTACGTCGAGGTCATGGTCGAAAACCTGATTACAAACTAAAATAATAGAAATGGAACTCGTACAGCTGTATTTGGTGAAGTGACTAGTCCGAAACGTCAAAATGACTCACATAAAGTCAACTGGGACATTTATCGTGGTGCCACTCATGCAAAAGATGACATTGATTATGATATCAACCAACGTGGAAAAGAGTTACAATCACATGAAAAAAAACGAATAGTCACTATTGTCAGTGGTTATAAAATGTCAGTATGTGTTATGGAATTGTATTCTCCTGGAATATATCTATTTGTTGAAGTGGCTTCATGTAACATTCCAAAAAATGTTAGAGATTTGGAACAGATTATGATCATTTATCAAATTTTGATGAGTGTCCGGGTTAGTGTCCTTCAATATCTCATTTTCTAGTTTGCATAACTATATTCTAATTTAAAACTTATAGCATAATGCTGTAGATATATTGGGTGAGAAATTTTGCACAACTCCACTTCAAACAGATTATAAAGAATGGACACGCCCAACTGTTAGTCCCCAATAAGAAGATAAAGGTATAGTGTATCTTAACTTTTGTTATGATACAGTCTTTCCCTTTTGTTAATTTTTACTTTGGAATTTGCAATAGGTTCGAAATTCTTGTTATAAATCTTGAGCTTTTGGATAAAACCATTATGGGAATAATTGGGTACTATAAAAGATAGCCTACATGAGTGGAAATCTTAGTGTAATGTAACGTTAGTAATATTAATAAAGAATATGAATAATCATCTTTGATCAACTATCTCTTAATCAATTTTTTTTCTTCGCAGCATATTATCAAAGAGTAAAATTTTGCCACATCAGGCTCATGATTTTTGTGTATACTGTTTGCAGTGTGATGTGAAACTTGCTCATTGAGAGATAAAAAATGTATATAACAATATAATTGTATTTTTGCTATTAACCCCCATGTACATAATTCAAGAAAATAAAAACACTACTAACAAGGCTTTGCATTCTTGATCATGAACTCATAATTATTACTTGATTACGAAAAATGATATTGATTTTATATTTTGATAAATAGAGCTTACTGAATATTCAGATTTGATTTAGGTTGGATTCAAATCAGTTAAATTTTGGATGGAATAATTTGAATCATTACAAATATTTATCCCACTTTCACGCCTGGAATTTATCAAACTGCATCATTGTCAAGTGGATCCTCAATCTTCCCTCACAACACTTGAACCGACATTACTCAGGATAAACATGCTAGCCAAAAGTTTCCTGTTTCTAGGATAAATATGGCCGGCTCTGTAACTAAGTCTGTCTGAGAGGAAGATAAAGGCAAGCTTGTCCAAAGCTTTCCAACTTATGGGTGCCTTCACTTGTGAGAAAAATTTCATAATTATGAGGGTGTGTGAAAGCACCTTAATGCATGTTGGTGATAGGAAATTTTTATTAAATCTGGCACTTGCAATCAACATCAGATTTATTATTCATGGTTTTTTAAGGAACTTTAGAATGGTGAAGGAAAAAATTATTTTTGAACCTCCCTATTTATTTATTCTTGTGAACCCCAGAGATCTAGGTAAACACGCATTATTAAAAGTTTCATTTATGCATGGCCTTGGTGTTATTACTACTTGGGTGATGCAATTTTTGTTATTTCAATGATGATATCAAATGTATTGAATAAGCATCAAAATCATCATGGATGAGGCATTCACATGAGGAAAGGATTAAATAACAACAAAAAAGCTAAGTCATGTTTACTTTTTATCTAACCAAGATATATAATTAATTACATTTAAAAAGTAATTATTTTATTCCACTCTTGCAATGGCATTAATTTTAATGATTCTGAAATTGTTTGTTTTTTAGTCTAATGATTGAATCAATCACACAAGTGATAGTCAGTTTAGATGGCTTTTTTAAAAAAGGTTTAGTTGAATTAATATTATTAAATGGTTTTTTTATTTATAATAATTATTTTTTTGATACATCAAACTCAGTCCAAATCTACCATATTTATATATTTTAAAAATTTTTTTTAGTACATTTCAATTAGATTTTATTAGATCAAATGATACATTCAGCAAAAATCTCAGAAGATTACATTGTGCATTAATTCTAAGATAAAAAAATCTGTTTTAATGTTTTAGTATAATCAATAATTATCTTTTATTTATTTGTTTATCTGTTTTAGTTGATCAATAAATCTCAGGTCTCAAGATAATTTATCTTATCCATTTTTAGTAATAATAAATAATTTAAATTTAACATAATTATTTTTCATGGAACCAGTTGAGGATTTTTATTTTCTCTTTTATATCAATTATTGAATATATATTTCTGATATTTATTTGCAGATCCACTCAAATTTAATTCTTTTCTGCCCACTTTGCTTGTCACCACAGGACCAATTTCAATTTAAAATAAATGAAACCCTACAAAGTGAACATGAAATTATAAAATAATATATATAGGGATAGGTGTATATGAAAAGTAATAATAATTATAATGCTTCAAATGAATATCAAAAAGCCATTGATTTTTTAAAAAAAGGTTGTAAATGTGGTTGCTCTTTGAGAATTCCTAAGGAAGAATTTGCAGAATTAAGAGAATCCTTTCAAGCTCTTTCTAAAACAGAACAAGACATATTTTTAATGGCCCAACTTAAAGCAATGGATGGTGGATCAATAAGCACTAGCAGACGCCTTAAAAAGAAAACCAGATCTAATAAAAGAATTTTTTATCATTGAGATCATAATACACTACTTTGTCAAGAAACTTATCTTAATATGTTAGGAATTGGCAGAACTTATTTTGAAAATATCAGAAATCACCTAATAAGCAATGGTCTTTTACCAAGAGTTCATGGTAACATAAAAAGAATGCCTCAATGAAAAACTAAGATGGTGATTGACAAAAGCATTGCTGAAGTGATAAAGAATTTTCTAGAAAATTATGCAGAAGTCCATGGATTACCAAGTCCAGGAAGAAGTATCAATAGAATAACTCAATCAATTGTATTCTTACCAGCTGAAATGAGTTATAAATCTGTACACAGAGATTTTCTAGCTGGTCTAGAAGAAGATAGTAATTTGAAATCTTTGAAGTATGATGTATTCAGAAAATTGTGACATCAATTGACACCAGAAATTCAAATTATGAGTCCCAGGACTGACTTGTGTGATACTTGTCAACATTTTAGAGATGGTTTACATTACAATGCTCGCCAAGAGGATGAAGCTAAAGATTTGCTCAAAAGATTTAAAGAACATCTATCCAAGGCCAAATTAGAAAGAAATTATTATAATAAAAATACCAAATTAGCAGAAGAACAAAGAAAACTAGTTGATCAACAATATTCAAAGGGTAAAACACAGTATTGCAGTATTGATGCTACTGCACATTATAGTTATGATTGAGCCCAAAATGTTCATGTACCACACTTAGATCAACAAGTAAGTAAAATTTATTATCTTAGTCCATGCAAAGTTCATTTATTTGGTATTCAAGATGAAGCAGTAAGGGAGCAAATTAATTATGTTCTTAATGAAGATGAAGTTATAGGAAAAGGACCCAATGGAACTCTTAGTATGATTTTTGATGGAATTAAGAAATTGAATAAAGGTGAAAAGCATTTAAAAATTACTTGTGATAATGCTGGTGGACAGAATAAAAATAATGTAACAATTTGGTTCTATTTATATTTAGTAATTTGTGGTTATTATGAAAGTATTGAATTAAATTTCATGATTCCTGGACATACCAAATTCAAATGTGATGGTAGTTTTGGATTGATTAAAAAACTCTATAGGAAAACAAGAGTAGATTATCTGGGTCATGTGGTTGAAGTGATAAAAAAGTCTAGTCCAGCAGGATTAAATAAAGCACAGTGTTATGAAGGTGGAAAAGGCTTTCAATACTTAGATATTAAAGCTATTTTGGGAATTTATTTTAAGAAATTACCAAGCATCCAGAAATATCAACATTTTCTTTTTGAAGCATCTAATTTTGGTATGGTGAAAGTTCAAGAAGTTGCTAATGGACCTTTTGTTGAGTTCAATTTATTGAAAACCAAGAAAACAGATATCTTTGAAGAGATTAAATCTTTATCAATTTTAGTATTAACACCACCTCCTTTGGATTACAAAAGGCAAGAATACCTTTACCAGAATATTCGTCCATTTGTTAGAGATGAATTTAAAGATATTACTTGTCCAAAACCAATTTATGCTGACAATGAATAGAAAATTTAAAAATTACTTCATTATTATATTAATAAAATAATTATATACTTAATAATGCTTTTATAAAAAGAAAGATATTAAGTATTTATTAAAAATTGAATAATATAATTAACAAAAAATCATGGTAAACATTATAAATGAACAACAACAAGTAAATAAAGCATTATTTGAAGAAATTGAAACATTAAAAAAACAACTAGCCGATAAAGAAGAAAATCCCAAAGTGAGAATCCACAACATAATTGAAAATGTTAAAGAAACTGAAAGCCCAGAAATTTCTGGAACTTTAATGACCTTAGAACAATACTTTTTACCCCAAGATGAATTAACCCTTAAAAACTTTGTTAAGGGTTGCACTGAATGAACATTACTTAATTGCAATAATTTTAGTTATGTTTCTAGAAAAAATGATGAACTAAAAGAAAAGAATACTGTTTTAGAAGAGAAAGTTGTAGGATTAGAACAAACCAAGCAAGAATTAGAAGCCAACCAAAAAGAACTGGAAAAAGAATTAGAGTTTGAGATGGCAAGTGCTGATTGCCACTTGGATGCTATTAATACTTGTAAAGACTGATATTTTACTCATCATGTTAATCCTTTAAACAAAGAATTGGTGAATAAGTCAAACTTATTATCTACAAAACAAAAGATAATTGAAAGAAAAGATGAAGTAATTGGAGAATTAAAAAGTGAAATAAAAACAGAAAGAGAATTGCTAAGAAATGCTCGCAGGAAAATAGAAGATCAAGACAAATTAATTAAATTGTTTGAAAAGCCTTTGCCTGAAATACCAAGTAAACCAAGTAAATTTAAAATTTTTAAATCAAAGATAAAAACTAAATTCCACCACTTAGTAGAAAAAATTAATCATCAAAATCAAGAATTAGTTGCTCAAGTAGAAGTTAGAAATTAAGATTAAAAGCAGTATGAAAGAATTGCTTTATACAGTGTTAGAATTGGAAGAATGAAATAAAAATTCAACTTGCTGTTTTTGTTATAACAAATCTGTTTGCCAAATTCGAACTCGGAACAAAATAACTCATGAGATAATTGCTAATGATAAAGCATGTGAAAACTGTAAAGAGAAATTTGAAAACAATGAGTTAGAAAAGTGTGAGAGATGTGGAAGGTTGAAAAATAGGCACAGTTGTGTTTGTCATTGTATTGTTGATAATGAAAATGTTGATGAAAAAGAACTTCCTAATTTACCTCATGAGGAAAGAAAAGCAACTTTTTATGAAAGACAAATAAACTCTTTGCGAGAAGAACTAATCATTACTGAGGAAGCACTTGAAATTGAAAGAGAAGAAGTAGTCAAATTTCAAGAAAAATCGGAAGAGTAGAATAAAAAACAGAAACAGGAGTTATTAGATAAAGTAAAGGGTTTAGAAGAAAAAATTAAGCAACTAGAAGAAGAAAATAGGAAATTAAAAGAGGAAAAGAATGGTCAAATTGCTCAAATTGAAATCAAAGAGACTAAAAGATGGTCTTGATTAAAAATAAAAAAGTAATTGAGGAAATTTTTCTCTGTATAAATTGAAATTCATTCCACCTATTAAAGAAAATGGTAGTTATTTTCCATTTAAAGATTTTTGCTTTTTATTAGTTAATAATACATCTTTATGCTGCTTTCTTTTCTTAACATTTATTATTTTTCTTTCTTCATGATAAATTTCATAAGTAATCTTTTCTTTTCTTAGATAAGCTTCAAGTGTTTGAGTATTATTTATTTTGAAAATATAAGTTGCAATTTTTTCACCTTATTCCTTTTTTAGAATACTTCTAATAGTGCTGTAATTCTTTGGTTCCATGGTAGATCAGATGTAAATGAGTTTCATATTAACTATTTTTATATAGGAGTAATTCTATATATAACTTAAGATAACAAATGGGATATTATAAAACTACTAATTTTAACACATATTACAAATAATCCCTGTAATTCTTGGTAATACCAATGTTCACTTTGTCTGATTTTGTTGCAGCATGCCCATATATTGTTATATCTCAGCTTCTAGTAATTCAAATTAAATGAATATTTGATATATTATAGTCAAGATTATGTCATATATATATAAAAATTATAATTAATTTTAATCAGTAAATCTTGTGATATATAATGTTATATTTTAGTATTCAAAAACTTTTATATAATTAAAATATTTATGAATTTATATTTATATACATATCTCAGCATCTACTGATTCAAATTAAATGAAATTTTAATATATTATAGATTGCGATTATATCATGATTATATGAAATTTTAAACTAATTCTGATTAGTATATCTTGAGATATATGATGTCAAACTTAGTCTTCAGAGACTTTTAGCGGCCTTCTATATAATTTGTAAATCAAATCAAATATTTAAAGATTAATTTATATTTGATCAAATAAAATTTTTCTGATTTGAATTTGATCAAATGAATCATAAATTAATTTGTATTTAATTAAATAATTTTTTTTAATTTAAATTTGATTGAATTGAATCAATTAGTAATTTGAATTTGTATTTGATTTGATCTTTAAATAGAAGATATAAAATATCAAATCAAATTACAGAATCCTAATAGTTAGTTTATTATAATAATTAATATAAAAATTAATACAAATACAATATAAGTATAGTATTAATTTTATCTAATACATATAAAATTTTCAATCCTAGTTTAGGGTTTAGTAATTATATTTTTGATAATAATATAATCATTAAATCCATTTATCTAGAGCTTTTCAATGAATATAAATTCAAGATTATTAAATTAATAGAAGTAGAGATATTTTGAAAAAAGTGATTACTATTATAACTTTATAGATTATTATTAAAGTAAACTATAATTTTTTAAGCTGCAGCCTAATGATCAAAATAACTAAAACTTCAGAAATAATGATAATATTATTAATTAAGTTCATATAGTTATTTAAGTTTAATTAGTTTTTTTTATTTACTTAGTTAAATTAGTTAATATAGTTAACTATATTAATAATATTTATAATGTTTCTTTAGTTTCTATAATTTAACTTTATCTTTAAATAGTAATAGAAATATATCAAATATTTTATATAAATAAGATAGGAAATTATTATAGTAAAAAAAGACAGTTAATTATACAGTCAAATAGTTAGTAAGTTAGTTAGTGAATTAATAATTAGAGAATTAATTGTAAAATTCATATTTTGATAGATTTGTGAATAAAAGCTTATTTAGTTTATTGAATTACATTGATCCCACTTATATTTTATTAATAAATCAAACTTTATTCTTATAAAATTGATCTATTAAACTCATGACCTAAAACCTAATACATTATTATTGCTCTCCTTATATATTTAAAGTATTTTTATGTATTTTCAATTTATATCTATATATCTTTAACATTCCCTATATATATAAATTGATATATAAATAACTCTATGATTTTATTAATGTAAATAAGTTCTTAAGGTTAATAAATTAAATCATTATCTTTTAGATACCTATAATTTTGCCACATATGTTGAAGTCTATTTTTTAATCAGTAGACTTTGCAATTAATTGACTCATATAACAATATCATCAGATTCAGATTCTATTCCATCTAAAAATAAAATATTCGTCTGATTCTCTCATAGAAGAGTATTTGATAATATTTATAATGAGCTTGATATAGTAAATTAAAAAAATCATTTTGTAATGTTACAATTACAAACTATAAAAATAAAATAATATATAAATCACATGACTTATTATATGCTTACACAAGAACACAAAATTTGAGAATTTATTTATTTAATAAGTAGATTCCCTTTTAAATTTTTAACTAGGTTATAGAATAAAATTTTATCTGGATTTTTCCAACTTTTGATTATAGAGGTTTTGCACTATAATAATACAGTTGTTATTCTTGATAGCTTTTCTTCTTATTCACGAGATCATACATCAGATCCTATAAAACAGCTTTTTGCGGAATATTAAGAGATGTTATTGCATTAGGCTTGTTTCAGAATTTCGAATCTTGCAAGTGAGTTGTTAATAATTTTCAAACAAATTTTTTAATATTTATTGAATAATTTTTTTACAGATTTTGCTTCCAATGTAAAGATATATTTAAATATCCATGACGTTGTTATAATTTACAGATCCCAAAGAGTTAAGCGTTTTTGTAATAAAAAGGGGAGGAAGCTCTATTTTGAGTTGATAATTTTACTAAAAAAAAAAAAAGAATATAAAGTAAAATTTTTTTTTTCAGTTTCCTTCCTTTCTACTGTAAAGAGCCCATATGTAATAATGATAGATACTAGTAATAATGCCAGTTAGACTTGTTAGTAACTGAACTTTAGTGGATAATTACCTATTTCTCAAAAAGATGGGTAATAGAATAATGATAATAATCCTACGAAGCTATAGTTGTATAATTTTATATATTGGGTCAAGATTAAGTTGTTCATTTAGTTTTTGAAAAGCCTTATAGCCAATTAGTAAATTTGATCGCCATAAGAACAAGAGACAACTATTCTTTTTAAACAATTAAAATGAATCATTTAATTTCGCACGATGGTTTCTTAATTTTATGTAAATGATCGACATTTGACAAAACAAACATGACTTCTCTTATGGTTACTCGATTCTTCATCTAATGTATTAGCCCGGTTGCTCATTTTCTTCACCAGGAAAATATTTGAATTATGTCAAAAGCAATATATCAATGTTGTTTACATTCAAATATTAATGAGCATGAGTATAGAGTGAGCAAGATGAACGGAGACTAACCATCAAAGGATTTATTTCCATTGACCTTCTGAAGGAATATAATTCGATCACCAATGAGGTTATAAAATTTCTCCGCTTCTTTCTAAGGGAATTTCCAATTTATTAAAATAATCAATTGATTCGTCTGATATTACAAAGATTCCTATTGCCTGAGACCATGAGCTCCGCCCTGAAGAAAAAAGATCAGTTAATGGTAATGCTCTATTGCATTAAACAGAATAGTTCGCATGTCTTTCATCCTCAATTCTTTCTTGGATTATATCATAGATAAGAACCCGATCAGGTTAATAATAATTTCAGTGAAACCCTTCGTTCAAAGGGATCCCCCAAAAAATTCGTCATAGAAACGTTGAGAATAAAATAAGTTCTAATGACATAAATGACATGTTCACGGATTTGGTGAATGCATTACCAAATTCTTCATGATTGGCACAAGATCACCCAGGATTCTCTGATTGATTTATCCACATCATGTCCTTGTAAAAATTATATTTTGAAAGTGGCGTAATTATAGTTTTGACTTCGTCAACATCATCTTTACGGTCAATAAGGTTTTGAGATGATTTTGGTTGGTCCATCCTCGAAAGAAGATGCTCTGCGACAGTTGTCAAAGAAAAAAAGAACAGATCAAAAGAGATCAATGCAGATCTTAAATACATACATATAAACGATTTATTTAAAGAAGGGATTTGGGTCGGAATAACTGTCGAGTATTTAGCAGTTTGGAGACCAACACAGCCATTATCCAGCGGATTTGAGATGTAACTACCGCAAGTAGGCAAGCGTTTTAAGGATTTAGTTAAGTTCAAAAGAAACATAATTGTGTAATATTTTATGTGAACTAAAAACGGAATTCCCAAAGAATTAGATGTACCATCAGGAAAAAAAAAACAAATTTTTTTTTTTTAGTCATCATTCTTGTTTGACGGATAAGTAATTATCATATGACACTAATTTGACAGTTCTTTCAAACATGTGTAAAAAGAAAATAAAGTATGGGCAAATTCGGCTGTAATAAATGATTAAAAAATATTGATGCATGTTTGCGTGGCTAAAATTGTAAACAAAAGGGGACAATAAAAAATCTAATATTTTTTTTTTATTAATTACATTATTCTTTTTTTTTTTTTTTTTTAACATCCGAATGTATTAGCGATAAAAGAAAAAAAAATTATTTAACCTATTAAAATGATTATTATGTCATTTGTATCAACATATCAAGTTGAACAACAATATTAAGGAGATGATGATTTTTTACTGGATGAACGTTTGAATGCGAGTAGGCGTAGCATGTATTATCAATGGGTGGCGTAGTATCATCATATGTCAATATTATCAGATAAAAAAATTTGGGAACTCATTGTCTGTTCGCCTGAAAAATGATGTACAGATTGATCGAAAACTCTTTTTTTTTTTTTTTTTTCTAAAGATGTTTAAAAAAATACAGTTTTATCACTTTTTGCGGGAAATTTCCCACATGAGATAAGAATCAGGAAAATAACCAGAATTTTTTTTTTTTTAGATTTTTTGACACGTCCCATCATATTTGTGGCGCGTGACATTTAAAAAAAGTGTGTATTACTCACCGTGCGTGAGAAACACAATAAATTGATAAAAAAGAAATCTTGTTTCGAGAAAAAAAAAAAAAAAGAAAAGAATCCTTCTCTTCAATTAATCAATGTGGGGAATCGAAAAAAAAAATAATAAAGATTATTAGAGAATGCACGAGATTATTATGACATCCAATTCCATTAAATTCCGGCAAATCCTTTGAGAAACGTGTCAGATCTCGCCGTAGTAATAAAAGATTAATAATCTAAATTTATATTAAGATAATGATAACTGTTAATTAGGATTGGACAAAATCAATGTCTCAAAATGGCTAATCAAATGATTCAAGTGAGACAATACATACAATGCCCTGCATAATATAAAAAAAAATAATAAACAATCAAACAAACACGACTGGTTTAATTGGCTGTCAATGTATTTCCTACCCTCGGAGTTATCTCAAACCTTTCTTTCTTTTCATATTTATCTTTATGATAAAAACAAAAAGAAAACTTGTCCACAATGAGTAAAGATCAAAAAGATCCAATTGGCCAGATGATAATAAAGATGTGGGACGAACATCAATTTTCCTTTATCAGCACTATTACATCCCTTTTAACAAAGAGTTTTCAATTCTTTATTTGAACTTGTTACGTAATTAAACATCCAAAGTTACATGTGTTAATAAAGGCAACTAAAAAAAGAACTTATTTTTTCCTCCACAATTCATAATATGTCAAACTTTTTTCTTATCAGAATATATATTTTACCATTGGGGATTTTTTTTGTATTTGATATTCATTGAGGTTTACTTTAACAATTCTCAAATAAATATTGTGATGTAATAAGAACGTCATGAAGCATCTGCCAATTGACAATCTAAGTCTCTTTAAGGTTATCATTCGCTTAATTCCAACCCTAATTATATAAATTAGAATCAAAAAAGAGTCGATTGTCCTTTCAAATTCCAATGGAGAAATTTTTTTTGTTTCATTCAACTTTCGCTTTCTTTGCTTACTTTTCACCACTCCAACGTGCATTCAAACAGAAACTGATATTTGCATGCATTCTTACTTTAATTTAGACTTTTAGAGTATTACTTTGCCTTTTCGTTCATTCAACGCGTTCTGAGATTCGCCGTTTTTTTATTGAACCATCCCTTTGGTTCGTGCTGCGCATGGAAGATCCGTTCCCTCTCGTCTTTTTTAATCAAATCCCTATGGGTGTTTCAATATGCATTAACTTATATGGCGCCATAATAATACAATTTACAACGGATTTTCTTTTATTAAACGGGGTGACGTTTTATAATTTGTCGAAGATGCTGTTCAAAGTTCATTGGGAGGCATAAATTACACTCACATGAAAATAAAAAAATCATTACTCGTTTTGATCCCAATTTTCATTTGAAAAAAAAGTTACTTTTTTTTTTTATGTTCCTTTTTTTTTTAAAAAAAAAAGTATCACGGGGGATTCTAATTTTACCCTTCCAAACGAATGTCAAATTTCCTTCTCAAACAAAATTGAGAGTATTTTTTGCAGATCTTATCAAAAATCCCGAATGATTATCATGAGTGATTAAACGAGGTCGGGAACCCCCCAAACATAAAATCATCGCTGCACCTTTCTCTTATCGGTTAACAAGATTTACATACCAATTACATTTGGGTTTAAAATAAATAATTAAAAATATTTTTAATATTTTTTTTAAATTATATCAGATGATATAATTATGACACTAATATTCTTTCATAATAGCAACTGATTTATCATATTATCAAAACAACATGAGCACCAAGGATTATTATATCACACAATTGTTCCCTATAACTGTATATTTTATCAATTTAAAGTAAATCAAAACGTGTAAAGGGCGGCTTTCATAAACCGATGGTCACACAACGTTTGGACCTGCTGACTTTGGTTTGTTGTGAAGTTCACATGTTCCCGAAACTGTTATAATGTTATAATCAATGTAAAAGTTTTTTTTTTTCTTTTGAACGTTGAAATTCATTATTTATTGTTAAAATCATTGATATTCAGTCTAACTCATGAAAATCGGTACTTATTGCATGATGTTACGAAAACATTTGCGCCTATTTCCTTTTCAATTCGGCTCCCTCTCATCAATTTTTTCATCCATATCAAGTACTTCCCTTTTCCAAAAAAATTTTTTTTTTTTTTTTTTTTCTTTCCATTCTTTCCTAGCGCCCAAAGAGACAATCTTGAGAAAAAATAAAAAATATTTTTTTTTTCTACATATATACAAATAATCATAACTTATATTTTTTACTGTATTGATACTTTTTTTTTCTTGTTATATGTATACTTTTCCGTTTGCCACACAAACAAACTTTCACTGCACCATATTTTTTTTTTTTTTTAATCTTAAATAAGTAGTATTTGTGCTCGTGTCCTTTTTATAAACCGAAACTTTTTTTTACATCAAGGTTCTTTGAACTTATTTCTTTTTTTTTTTTCCTCATTCTTCCCAGCTTATTTTTTAAAAAAAAGAATACTTGTCAAAGGAAAAAAAAAAAAAAAAAAAAAAAAATGTACGCACAATCTCAATCTACAACGACACTACCTTCAATAACTGCTGCTATCGGCAACGGTGTTGATAATTTTAATTCTAGTTCGCTTGGCAACGGTGATATCCTTAAACACCATATTAAACAAGAACAAGATTTTGAACATTCTTCCTCCTTACCTCCCATACGAACAAATCCCATTAACCACAATAATAGTAACATTGATACTAGCAATCACTCTAGGATGTCCATAAATCAGTTATGTAATGATACAGTAGATTCACGTTATTCTGAAGAAATGAAAGAAGCTGCTGCAGTCCTTGAAAACTTGAAGACAACGGCGGTTACTACCTTACCTTCAATCGGTAAGTCAAAACGGAGAATAAAATAATTTATCGAGCAATGACGCATCACACAACTTTCTCATTTGTTTGTTGTTACACTTGCTGCATTAAAATCATTAAAACTAAAAAGTTTCTGATCAAAAATATTTTCTCGTTTTATAGATAATATATCATCACAACCGCAACCGCTAGAACCTCGAACGCAGGCAGAACCTTCACAGCTTCCCAGTTCAGAAGCAGGTTTCATGTTGTCGATTGTGAAGAAAACAATGGATGTCTATGAACAGGGTAAAGCCAACTCCCCTTTCATAAAATATACGACCGAGATGGTTGAGTCAAGTGTATCTAGGTTTTCTAAACCAGTGATCGAACAGCTTGCTATAGTAGATCAATATGCAAGGGGTTTAAACAAAAACGAGAAAATAATTGATAATGAAGGAATAAAATATGAAATTGATAGTGATGATGTCTTAGATAATGAATGCCTTAAACGAAGGGTTAGGGGTAGTGAAATTTCTCGTAGTTCATCACCTTCATTTAGAAAACCTCATCGAACTTCACAATCATCCGGTTCTTCAAACAGTACTTCTTATGCCCCATACACTTATCCTAATAATAATTCCACAATATCAGCAACTACGTCGACCTCTTATCCAGAAACAAGAAGTCGTTGGCAGCGAATGGTTATAGGAACCGGTGCGGCTGTTGGTGCTGCCGGAGCTGCCGTAAGCGAAGAATCTATGAAGAGTCTCAAATATTGTCAAGAATGGATAAACGTAGGTTGAATATGATTAATTCGACATCATTTCACGAGACAAATCTAACTTTAAAATTTTTTCCTTTCAGTATGCTACTCAACATATTGATGCACAGATCGCAGTTTTAAAGGAGTTCATTGTTAACCTAACAAATCCATCCACACGAGCGGTTGCTCGAACTTCGTCTACCTCTACCCTTGCCTCGATTAAGAAGGAGGTGGTTGAGACTCTTCGGAAAGTTATTGAAGTAGTATCGAAATATGCTGGTGTTTGTTTACCAGATCAGGCAAAGAGAAACGTTAGGAACTTCATTTTAAGCTTGCCTTCTCGATGGGCTTCAATAAATCATTCCGAACATTCTTCTTCTCCTTCTCCAATGTCATCTCCACAATTGGCTCCTGCAAATGGCCACCCACTAAACCAAACTACGGATTACGCACGTCGCCTCTTGAGTTTAGCCACGGAGTCATTAGACATGTTAATATCTGTTTCTGGAATTTTTGGTGAAACAGTTACACGGGCGGAAGCATGGTTGGAAAGGCTCAGAGCTGTTGGTATGCCAACAAGTATGGGATCGAATTCAACAGTGAATATGCAATTTGATAGTGTATACGGTTCATCCAATTCATCATCACATTCTCCTCCCGGTTCTCGTTCGAGAAGAACATCCAATTCTGTACGTCCGAATGGCCATGGACAACGAAAGGTTTCCCGTTCAACGCCAGTTGATGAGGATGATTCGGCTTTTAATGGACATAATTCAGATTCTTCATCAGATTCCGAGGTTGAACCTATGCGTATGGAAATGGATCACGCTCAAAAGCGCGCTTTAAAGAAAGCAAATGCCAAATCACAATCAAATGGTGCATTGAATGGAATCAAGAAAAGAAAGAAAGGAGGTAAAAAAGAAGAAAATGATAATATAATGGACCTTTCTTAATTATTATCACATTTGGATGATTGTATAATATACATTGTAAAACACAAACCTTTTTTTAGTAAAATTTTATTCCCTTTATAAATTAGAAAAAAATAATAATTTTTCAGAGACGATGTTTTGCAAATAGAAAAAAAATAATCCCATACGCTTTTATATGTTGACTTATGTTGACTAGTGTAAATTCATTCTCTATTTATTAATGAAGACTTTGAGTGATAAATAATTAGCGAGTCATTGAATAAGTTATTAGTGGGTATTTTAATTATTATAAGTACAATATTTACTTACTATTATTATTACTTTAAGTTAGTGAAATTTATTATTATAACATAGTTTAGTATATTTTTTTTTTTTTTTTTTTTTTTTTTTTTTTTTTATAAAAATATAAATAAAAATATATATATATCAAACATTTGTTTCACATTTTTTTGTTTTTTGTGTTTTCTCACAAAATTTGGAATGTGTTAAGGTTCAAAAGATCGACTTTTTTTTTCACTTTTTCCCATATATTTTTTTCCGGTATTCAAGGTTGTTAGCAGTTACGATGATTTTTTTTTAGCATTAGCTTTTTGTGTTTGCTTTTTTCATCAATTTTCAACATTCAATATTATTACTACTTTCCTTTTTTTCACCTCACGCTCCAATACAATTTAAATTTATTTGGATTGCAAGTTAGAGTTTATATATAGCAGGTTTATATATACAATCTTGAAACCTAACCTTTCCTCTCTCACCTTTCATTTTCATTTTAACTAAAAAAAAAAAAAAAAAATTTTTTACCGATCAATTCCATCATTTGTCCCGTCAATGATTTTTTTTCCAATTCGCACTCGTAATTTGTTTTACTTGAATTTAGTAAAAAAAATATATATATTTATATATATATATTTCTTTATATATTTATCGAGTGGGCAAAAAGAATAAGAAAAAAAAAATGAAAAATGTAATTCAAAAATGAAAAGTGAAAATTGTTAATAATATATACATATAAATATTTACATAGCCAAACCAAATTTGATTTTTTTTATAATTTATTAAATTTATTTTAATTTGTTTAATTTGTCGAAATTGTCGAATTTTTTTGCATTTAAAAAATAAAAATCAATTATTAAAAGTTTATAGGGTGATCCTGATCTCATCATCATTTATTTGTTTACTAAATAATCAGATCCTTGAATCAAACTTTATATGATCAAAATATATAAATCGATTATTATTATTAAACGATCATTTCGATCGCATTATTTTATTATATAAGTAAATAACTGTACAAACAACGGATTGCGCGCTTTTTGAGAATAAAGCATTTGAAGAAAAAGAAATTATTATTTTTAACTTATTACGAACAATTAGAACAATCTTATCCGGGTCATTCTCGATATGTTTGACAAGAATTTGCAATGTTAAAATTTTCAGAACTCTCGACTTTCGCTTTCATCATCATCTTGGTCTGAAGAAATGGTCATCCTTTTTTTGCGCGAGAACGTACACGAAAAGGTTCATCATCTGACTCACAAGGATGATCACCTTCATAATTTTCTTCGCATGATAAAGGAGTTGTTGAGCGACTTTCATTTGAATAAAAGGAATGTGGGCTCCTTTTTTCATAATCTTCGCTCGAAAATGACATGCAATAGGATTCATTTTGCTCTTTATCCGATTCGACTGAACCATCATTTATTGTTATCGTGCCGTTCGTGTACGGAGGGTCATCATCATCGTTATTTGATGAAGGTGAATCTCCGTCATCTTCGGTGTTATATGATTCATTCACTCGAATGACAATCGATGAATTTTCATCCGTAATGACGTTGCGATCATTAGTCAAGTTTTCAGCATCTGAACCATCATCATTAATAAACGAATCGTTGGAATCATATGTATTGGATTCGCTATCAATATCCGAATTATCTCCGTCGTTAGAATCATTGTTATCATCAGATTCATTGTCGTTACTCTCTATGCCTATGCGTTGACCGCAATTACCACATGTAGGACCCTCCACTATTTACAAAATAAAAAAAGTTAAATTTGAATATGAATTATTTTGGTCAATGTGTAAAATCGAGTTACCTTCCCATCCACAGGTTGGACATCTCAAAACACCATCCTCTTCGTCAAGTAATGGGCGAACTGATCGGTCAAATATTCCAGCCCAATGATCAGATGTTTGTTTATATACCTGATCTTCTTTTTGAAGAATTTCTAGGACTCCTTGTTTTTCCTCAGTTGGAAGTTGCTCGACTAACGATTCAACCTGATCTTTCAAAACATATGAAAGAACAGGATCAGTTGTAACCTCGGCCCGACATGAAGGACATTTGGGAACATTCTCCCTTTTCGTCCCCAGCTAAATTAAACAAAAAATTTTTTTAAAAAAATTTTTTTTTTTTTTTTTTATTTATTAAAAATTTGATCAATTACCCATTCTCGCAGACAAGAGTAACAAAAGGAATGACCACAATTAACAGTACAAGGGTTTGCCAGATATCCCGTACAAATAATGCAGGCAAGTCCTGTTTAAAAAACTCAAGTTAACTTTTTAAGTGACATGAGAATAATAATATAATAACTTACCTGATTTGTACCGACTGTTCGTTGCAATAAGTTTTTTTATCTCCTCCACCTTCTCGTCGAGTTCAGCCTTGAGTTGTTCCAACTGGCTATCTTTCCACATACACTCCGCCTTTAAGCGATCCACTTTGAGCAATAAATTTTTAACTTTTTCCTTCGGATCCTCGGTTTCTAAACTTTCTTCTTTGAGACCTTTATCCTCTGTAGATTTCTTACGCTTGGCTTCAATAAGAGCTGATGTTGAAGCTTTACGTTTTAATCCGACGGACACACTTTGCTCTTTATGACCGAAACTCGGGGTGTTATCTTGGATCGGTATTTCGTTATTATGGATCTTGGGGGATTCCGAATGAAGCATTGTTTCCCGCACGTTAGGAGGCTCGATACTCCTACGTTTTTGTTCAGTTCGTATATAAGGTGTAACCTTCTTTTTAATTTTTTCAGACATTTTTCTTTTTAAGAAATTAGAAAAAAAAATAGGCTAGTAACGAAAATCTAATCAACAACAAATTTAGAATAATCACGCTTATGATACACAAAATACTGCGGTTTATTATAAATTATGAACGCGTTCACTTTTTTTATTTATTTATTTAATTAAATGTTTGTTTTTAAAATGAAAAGAAAAAAAATAAAAAAATAAATAAATAAATAAATTATAAAAACTAGAAATCTTTTAAAAAAATTTGTATATAAATATGTATGTATAATATGTATGTATTTGACAAGAAAAAATAATTTAACACGTGTCCAACTTTATAACCTCTATAAATGAAAACAATGATGTCATGATGAAAATTAACATAACAAATGCTTGATACCAGCGAAATATTATGCTCATTTTTGTTTATTATATGATGGAAATTTACGAAGATTTTTATCATAGTGTAACTTATACACCGATATGCCAAATCCGTAACATACAGCGAATGTCATGACTGCTCCAAGTGGGTATACCTCAATGGGTATCGACCGAAGAAAGGAACGTGCCCCTCGAGCGGCAATCGGTACGGCGGTCATCTTCTTTTTGAACTTGAACCCTTTTCTAGACTGCTGTTACGTGTCTAATGCGTGTCTATATGATAATATAGATTAATTTATTTTTTTTTCGCTGGACTTTAATATTAAGCGAAAATGAACAGTTATATTTATTATATTTATTATATTATGAATCAATTATATTAAGTAATCAGTTACTTTTGAATTGGGTTGGGTGAAGCATTAGGACGAATTTCAGCGATATTTATAACATTTTCATTTTCAATAATTCATGTTACTTCACGCCACTTTATCATACGACAATACAAAAAGGTGGTTCGATTTCATGAATCATCCGGTTTCATAAAATCACCTTTTCGTTGATCTGACGATCATGATAATCATGCGCACAGATTTTTTGATGAAAACGCGATCACAAAATCGTTTTTGCCGAACGGTCCGAAATTTAACCTATTTATAAAAAAAATTTTTTTAGTAATTGTCAAAGAATTGGATAATGTAAAAGAAATACGTTAATTTGAATTTGTTTTAAATAAAAAACAAACTCAATAAATCAACGAATTATGCTGGTGTTGATGTGCAAATTATTTATTTTATCGTTTGAATTGATTAAATATATGTATATATTATTAATTAATCGTTGATTTACCTAAATCAAAAATTATTCAATTAGTTAATAGGAATTATAAGGAATAAATTTTCATCAAAATTAATGCCGAATGAAATATTTTTTTTTGAAAAAATATAATTTTTAATTAATTATTTTCTTTAATTATTAAAATTCATAAATGATCAAAAAATTTATGAAATATTAGAATTTTTTTAGTATAATTATATCCTATTTCCAGATATTTAGTAAATATTATTCCCACCCTCTCTCTATTTTTGCTCGTTCGTAAAATCTGCTATGGGTTTATACTTATAGACATATTTACACGTGTTTCATCATGATGAATCACAGAAAGGTATAGTATACCTATATTAACCCTAACCCAGGATTGGAATTTGACCATTTGGCCGGTATTTGCCAATAGCAATTTGACTATTTGGTCAAAATAGCAAAAAAATTTTCAAGTTTTGGCCAGCCAAATATATATTTACAATCTAATAATTCTAATTCAAATAAGTTAAATAGCAATAACTTGATAATTATTAATTGTAAAAAGATGAATATAGCTTATTAGAATCATTATAACAAGCTACATCAAATGATAGTATAACAGGAATTTTATGATCAATTAATAAATAGTTATTTCAAAACATAACTAAATTGTAATTTGCTAATAATATGTGGAAAGATTGCTAGAAAAATCAGATTCTGAGAATTTTTTAACAAATTTTGTTTCTTATTTCATTTCAATTTTTAATAATATTAAATTAAAATGCATTAAGTTTTAAATTTTATTTAAAAAAATTCTTGGAATCTGATTTTTCTAGCAATTTATCTATGTATTAATACAAGAAATACAAAATTAATATTATTTAATATAGATTATTATGATAATTTAACAAGTTATATTTTTAATTATTTAGAAAATTAATATCAATTTAAATTTATATAATTAATAAAATAATTTTATTTAAAATTTTAAATCTTAACTTTATTTATTTAAATAAAAACAAAAAATGTAATTTTTATAAATCTTAGTTAAATATTTTAAAAAAATAATAATTATCTTGACTATATTATAAATAATTATAATTATTCTATATTAATAAAAAATAATATTTTTAAATTATTAATAAAATGTTTTCAATATTTTATTTTGCTTTTTAATCTAATTTAAAATGAATTTGATCAATTAAATTATTATTAATTTTAATATCAAAATTCAAATCTATTTTAACTTGTTATTTTATATTTTTTTGTTATAATAATAAATGTTTTTAATTTGAAATTAATTTATTCTAATTTGAAATTTGAATTTTATCATTTATTTCATTTTTCTAGCAAACCTTTCATATAATTAAATATATCATTTATTATATAAAAGTCCTATATATAACTAAAAACTTTTAACTGATACAGTATTGATACAAATTCTAAAAATATATTAAATAATATATTCAAATTCTTTTATTATTGATAATACCTATGTTCAAAAATTAAAATATTTTCTTCAAATTAATTAATTAGATGTTTTGTAGTAGAAAAGTATAAAACTCTAAAAAAATTTAAAATTTTACTTTATAAGTTAAATATAATTTTTTTAGTAAAATAAATTAAGATTTAACATTAGTATCTTTTTATTATAAAGCTATAAAGCTTCTAATTAATTTTATTAAAAATATATTAATTTTTTTAAAATTTTTATATTTACATAATATTGAGTTTAAATTTATTTTTATTCAAGCTTTATAATAATAAATTAACTATTTGCTAAGATATATATGATTTAAATTTAAAATATCAATTTAAAATTTTTCATTTTATATTTTTAGGACATATAAGCTATGATAATAGTAATAGTATTTATTTTCAATTTTACAATATTTTTAAGCATTTTATTTCAAATTCTAAATCATTATAATTGTTCAAAATTTTACAAAAAACCAAATTTATGTAACATATGAAAAATAATTAATAGAAAAGAAAAAAATTCAAATTTTAATCAAAATTTATATTATTCAACCATTTGACTGATCTCATTTATGTGTATAAAATTAGCTTAACAATTAAAATTAACAAAAATTTTAGATTTTTCTTTTTCTACTAATTGTCTTTTATATTAATTTATTTTTATCATATTTTAAATTCTATAATATGGACTAGATAACCCTCTTATAGGAGGGTTATCTAGTTGCATTATAATGTTATCTAGTTATGGCTATACTGTTACCTAGTTATATGTTTTCGAGACTCTGTGACCTTTTTATGAGCAAGTTGATATCCATTTGTTTTTAATACTCTGTATCCTTTTTATTACTTTGTAGCTATCCATGTGTTTTTAGCTTTTTTATGACCAATTTGCTAGGCTAACATTGATTGCAAATAATCATATTGTGATCGGGTAGCGCAGTAAATTTGTGGATCAGATTTTGGCCAGCACTATGCTATATTTTTGACACAATATTTAGGACGGAATATTTTGACTTCCTGTGATTGGATTCGTGCAGTTTTGTGGTTATTTGAAAGAAGGTGTTAAGAGCTTTCCAATGATGCTATAACTGCATGAATTAGATATCTGAATGCTAAGGTATTACATTCTAAAGTTTAGGCAAAAAATATGCATTATAGTGCTAGCTAAAATTAAGCGAATTTATACTGCGTCTTACTACGCTATAGTCACGTGAAATGGTAAGACAAAAACTTGTGGTGTAGGGTCAACCAACTGTGTAGTGCAGTGATGTGCACTTGGAAGATTGGAAGCACCATTGGAAGCACAATTTATTAATAAAATTATTTGGATTGGAAGCTTCCAATCAAATTTTTTACCATTGGAAGCATAAAATGCACATCACTGGTGTAGTGTATAACGTAAAAATAAATAGTGTATAATATACAACACACAGTTTAAATATTAATTATATATATTAAACATTCAAACTGTGTAATGTATATTATTATAGTGTATATTTTTTATTTAATATACAATTGCTTTTTAATATTATAACGCGAAATTTTAAAATTAATTAAAAATTTTTTTTATATAATGCTAAAATTCGTACTAAAATATATAAATTCTTTTACAAAGAAAAAATAAAAAGTACTAAGATCTACATATTGTAAAGCAAATAAATGCGTAAATCTATTATTAACTTAAGATTGTTTTCGTTGTTATATGATAATTTAATTTTTTATATTGTAACTATAATTTATATTTTATAAATGCTTTATTTATTAAATTTTTCACATGTTTATAGCATTTAACGAATGAATATTTATCAAATTTGATTTTTCAAGATTTAACAAATTCTAACTCATGCTTCTTCTTAAAATTTGATAGTTCCATTAAATAGATTTTAGCTTCTCGTTCTCTTAGATCAATTTCGCGCACTTTTAAAGCCAGAACCTGTTCTTTATATTCAAGTTCACTAATTCTTGAAGTTAACTCATTCTTCTTATCGTCATTTTCAGTATCAGAATTAACTACAATGCTTTTTCTAGGCTTTTTCTTTGCATCTTGTTTATGACTAATAGGAATTTTGTCTTCAGTATCAGAGTTATTTACATCCCCTTTTTTAGATCCTTTCTTACTAGTAGATCATAATTTACGTTTCATAATAATTGATTTCGCCTGTACATTAGCTGTATAAATAATAAATATTTAAATTATTAATGTAAATATAAATATAATATAAAAATAACATCAGTATTACGTATTTTCATAATATTCTAATTTACCTTGACGTTTATTAAATAGAATGTTACGAGCAATTAGACCTTTGTCTTGTCTCCGAATAGGTATATTGTATTTTTGATGAACACGAATTGCATTGAATCTTTCTCTATTTAATTTTCTTTCTCTATGCATATTAATAAATTAATAAATTTAGAATTTACATAAAAAATTAAAAATTTTTAATATATTGCATATATTGCATTAATACATACTGTAAAATAGCTATTACTAGTTTGAGATTTTTTTCACGACGGTTGCTTAAGATATGGGCAGTCTCAGCAGTATTAGTATTATCGGGAGATGTTAACCAAATATTATTGTCAATCTTTAACATACAGTCCCTGGCAAAAAGAATGGCGGTAAAATCCGCATCAATTTTTATGCTGCGGATTTACCGCTTTTCAGAATTAAGCATTGATTATATGCCTAAATCGGACATTGGAATCATAATTTAAAAGGTATATTAAAAAAATAAGGTTTGTTATTTGTTTTTATTTTGATTTTATCTCCGAAACTATGCTAAGC